TTTTTTTTTTTTTTTTTTTTTTTTTTTCCTTTTTGTACCGGAATATTTTCTGGTAAAATCAAAGAGAATGAATGGCTAGAAAGATATTCCAAATGTGCATATTGATATGTAGCAGGGTCTGTTGATTTTTACAGCAGAAAGGTATTTCTTCTTTTTCTGAAACACACTTAAAGRCTGTTCTTCCTAGGATACTGCAGGTGCTGTATTAACATCCTTAAGAGAAAGCTTTTAGTGCAAATATTTTGGAAGAGAAAATAAATATGCCAAAAGCTGTTTTCTTAGCACTGATCTTTGTTTTTATCTCAACTGCAAATCAGCCCTTTGCAATGGAACACAGAATCCTTGATAAACTTATTTTTCATTCTCTCTGCCAGTAAGACAGATCCAATCCTGATGATTCAGRTGTATTGTTACATTGCACAACATTTTTTCAGTAAAATATTGGGCCTCTAGTATTGTAGTGCCTTTTTGCAGTCAAATTTCTTTTGTAACTCTTTATCTCCTTGTGAGTTCCTTTGTGTAAGATCCTTCATCAACCACGCTTACAGAAGGAGACTAATGAAGAAATTAACCAAATATAAAATGCGGAGTTATTTTTTCTGACAGCTGGGTMAGAAATGCTTTTAGTGCTTGAAACACCTCAGCTGCACATTGTGGCAAATCCAATGTCAGACTGAGCTTTCTTTTCCACTGCAAATTGAGCAGAGAATAATTTTAAAAATCCATGGTTAAAGGAACTGAAAGCATGAGGAATCAAAACAATTCCTCACTTGTCCTGATGGGGTTTCATGTCTGAAACACCAGGATAATAGAAAATAATCATATTGGACAGCAGAAGTAGTTAGGGGTGGAGCAAATGAGGAGTCAAGGCCATGTTTTGTCCCAAAGAACATTTCCAAGTTTCTACCATCTTTTAGGAAGGAATCTCCCAACGTTTCCTCCTGGTGTCTAGTGAGCACAGCACAGAACTAGGTCATTGAACAATAGACTGAACAGCAGTCAGCACTCTGCTTCTGCATAATGCATTAAGCATAACATGGAGAAACTGTTCGTAGAGCTGAAAGCTGGTATTTCACGTCTGTAAATTCAAGCTGACATGACATTTAATATTGTTTCATAGTAATGAACAACAAGGTTCCATTCATTCACAAGTACAACATAATGCCAAGTTTAATCTGAAGAGGTAACAACAAGGCAAGAGGGAAAACATGCTATGTTCCTTCAAATGAGAACTCTAAATTAATGATAACCACTGAACACTTTGCTACTGATACACAGCACTACAGAGACCACTATTGAGAGACAATATTACACTGCCTTCATAGTGCCCTTGTCCGGCAGCTGAGTGAGGAACTGGGTTAACATATAAAATACCTTTCAGTTTCCACTCTCTGGTTCCAGGTTTCCTATGGAGGTCTCCAGTTCTCAAAACTTTCTGTATTTCTAGGAGGGGGCATTATCTTTACTTTTTTTTCCCCTTTTTTCTCCTCTTAATTTCCCTTTTCACTGAGACACAATTTAAATTTCTAGACAAAATAATATCAGTTCTGTCCTCATATCATCCCTTCTTTCAAATGCTTGTCTTTGAAAACCTCTGCATAAAATTCAATCTTGTGTTTTCACAGAGGTATAAATGCAAACTTGAATCTCGGAGTAGGGAAAAAGTGGGTTTTTTTTTTTTCATTAAAATACCAGTGCATTTTAATACAAATTCTTTTTTCAGCTTCTGAATTTTCATGTTTCCCAAATGTTGATTGTCTTTTTCAGTTTGAGTTATAAAATAAATGGAAAGGCAAAGTGAGCAGCATCGATCAGCACTGTGTGCTGCCAAGAGTGTTTTGTATTTGCATGTACAATCGTTTATGCATTATGGCACTGCAGATCAAAATAATCTCAAAGTTTCTGTATATGTTTCACATTTAAAACTGATTTTCATAAATGCAAACATTCAGAATCTGTAAAAAAAAAAAAAAAAATTGTCCCTGAGCTAAAATTCTAATTAGATGCATTCATTATTTGTTCAGATTTAGAAAATAAGGCATGTATCGATGCATACACATATGCACTGGCATACCACGAGAACTATCCTATATGGAGCATTAAGAGTCCTTCTGTTCTTTTCCAGGAAAGAACAAGGTTTGAAAATTTAGGCCCACAGTTAACAGGGAAACCCAATGAAGATGGAAAAATTGGCCCTGGCGTCATCGATCTCACAAGGCCAGAAGATGCAGAAGGTGAGTTGCAGTTTTGACTGTGGGTTGTTGAACACTGCACCACAGGATGATAAAGCTGAAAYACTGCCAGTGGCATAAGTACTGTTCGTGTTTCATTCCAGGATAACTCTTGGTTGATTTCTGTCTGAATTTGTGAGGTTTCAGTAAGTCCAKAACAAAAAGTGGAGACATGAAAAGGACTGGGTAACCCTTTTRGCCCTTATGAAACACAATTATTTTTTCCCCAAGTAGCTGCCAAAGAAGGGTTTACATTTTATGCTACCAACTAAATTTCAGGAGATATTGAGAAAATTATCTCAGGAAGGAYATATATTCCCCATTTTTTTAGTATTTAGCAGCTTTGAAGAAGGTTAGAGCATTTTGAGAGATCTGCCCATTGTGCACCACATATTCAAGATAGAGCAAGCACAATTCTATTCACAGGCAGCTATCAAACGATAATGGAAAAATACTTCACATTTTCTGTATGAAAAGGTTTTTTTTTCATGGTATAAGCACTCATTTCAGTGAGGGTTTTATATATGTATATCTATATGTTTCAAGCCCCAGGTGGAAATCAGTGTTTATCAGGAGTGAGTTGAGTCTCTGGCAGGATTACCATGCACTCTCTGGAAGGGTGTCCCTGGACCCTCTCTAGCCTATGATACATTAGAAGAGCACACGTACACCTATCGGAACCCTTCCTGTAGGAAGATTAATGTACTATTCAGGTAGAATAYCGTGCAGGGTTTTAGCCCCTCAATTTAATTCTGTTTGAGAATCATTCTTCTCTTTTTAAACCAGGCAAATTCTACTTATAGCTTGGGAAGGTTGAAATACCTATGAATTTTCCACTGACATCCAAACATCTAACAGATCCAAAGTCTGCTTTTTTCCTTGGATCAAAAGAATAGGACCAGTAAACTTTAGGGRGCTATTATGCATGAGCTTCATTTATTCATCCTTAGTTGAATTTGATTGGCCACTGTTGTATAATTTGTAAACAGAAAAATAACGAGCAGAATGTAGGTAAAAAATAACTTTCAGACAGGTATTTGCAGTGATTCTTTTTTTCTAGAAAAATGGAATCAGGAGACACATGCAATTTCCAAAGCACTTTTTGACCAATCAGTTATCATATTTCAAGTTGTGGAACAATACTTTTTATAGTCAGTTTGGGTGAAATGTTGCAAGGCAATACTTCCAGACACACCGTTTTTTGTTTAGATGGCATCAGGCCTCTGACAGCACTGTTAGTTTAGYTTATTTCTTTCAATTCATCCATTCTCTTTAAAGTGTCCTGAATTTAGTATCTTGATACCCCTCGTGGCACTGGCAGCCCTCCTGGTTACTGGATAGTGCAGAGAGGAGCTTTGCCACGTGTAACCCAAGCCACAGTGATGTGTGCCAGTTTGAGTGTGCATGTCTTTCTAGAGCTACTGGGGCACTTTGAGGCATGGGACCTCTCCACATTAGAAATCTGAGTTCATGAATGGATTCAGATTTCCAGAATTTGTTTAGCAGCCAAGAGATATCTCTGGAAAAGAGATGATGGGTACATGGCACTGCTGAGCTGAAAAGAAACATTGGCAGAAGTTCTAAACTGAGCTGCTTATTTGTCCTTCTCGCTGTAGACAAGGTGAATTTAGATATTAGCTGGATGTAAGAAGAAATCCTTCAAAATACAACCCGAGTTTTGCCCTTTATATTTGGCAAGCTGGTTGAGAGATGACACTACGAGCCTAAATTAATTTATAGTGGAAGTCCATTGAAAAGAGTGCAGCTGAAATATCAGCAGTTAAACTGTGGTCTCTGATATACTGCATTATGTTACACACTCTGTCCAGCTTCTCATTGCCATAAAACTATCACAGATCTTTTGTCAATGTCTTTTTGTATGTGTTCCTATTATGTTGTGCTTCCAAACTTCAGCCCTGGGCTACTAAGATGCTTTAGAGCTTGTTCTTTAGAATAATGGAATCATTTGGGTTGGAAAAGACCCTTGGGATCATCAAGGCCAATCCAGCACTGCCAAGTGCACCACTAATCCGTGTCCCAAGTGCCACATCTGCATCTTTTGAATACCTTTAGGGATGGTGGCTCAGACACTTCTCTGGGCAGCCTGTTCCAGGGCTTGCAACCCTTTCAGTGGAGAAATGATTCCTTATATCAAATCTTAACCTTCCCTGGCACAGCTTGAGGGCTTTTCCTCTTGTCCGGTCAATTCTTCCTTGTGAAAAAAAAAATACTGACTCCCACCTCTTTTCAGCCTCCTCTCATGTTGTTGTAGGGAGTGATAAGGTCCCACCCAAGCCTCCTTTTCTCCAGGCTAAACACCCTCAGCTCCCTCAGCCTCTCCTCATCAGACTTGTGCTCCAGACCTTTCACCAGCTTTGCTTCTCCCCTTTCACCTCCTCTGAGAATGCCTTGTTGCATTTCATTGTGTTGCCACAGTCTCAGCTGATGCCAAAGGTTCCTAATAGGCACAGTCACGTTCTTCACCTTCCTTTCTGTGTTGTCATTTTTACTTAAAATATTTTTTCTTTTTTTTGGTTTTTTTTTTTTAGATTTTTTTTGAATTCAGGTTGCTCTAGGAGTCTTTAGCTAATATTTCTGTGTTTTTATGTGTGCTTTTATACATATTACACAGTCAAACAGGAAATAAAGATTTCTGAAGTGACATATTGATGGTCAACTTTCGATACTCTATCTTGACAGAAATACATCCAGACCTCTGAGGTTCAAGTGCAGTTGTGACAGAGTGAGTGGATGGCTGTTAGGTCTGCCAAGGGGTTACTCTCATCACCAGAATTTTAGGACTTTGGAGTTATGTAATTCATTACAATTAGAGAAGATATTAACAATTTCTAGAGGGTTCTTTTAAAGGGATAGTAGGGGCAGGTGTAAGGGTGGGGCAGCAGTGCACCAGATTTATTTCTTGAGCTAAGGATTCCAAATTTAGTCCCAATGCTGGCCATAAACTGGGGGAAATGCAGTTTGGGTTGTGTTGTGACCCTGCCACTGGTAGAGCAAAAGGGCTGTAGGAGTGCACTCTCTCTCCTGATCTGCCCTACTGCATTTCCATAGGAAACTAAAGTGTGCAGAGACAGTGCATGTCTGCCCATCCCAACAGGCATTTGAGATTGACCAGATCTGGGAAGTGCCCCTGACTCCCGTAGTTTTGACACAACATTGAAGGTTTGTCTAATTTGTTGGAAAACATATCAGCAGACTCCTGTTTTATGGAATGCCTTTGTAACTGTATCTAGCAATGATTTCTCTCTACTCCTTTACATCTTTTCTCTAACATATGGCAGTGATCTGAGTTTGACAGGATCAGAGTCATGTTTTCCTGTAATTTTGGGAGTGCTTGTGGTACTGGCTCATTGATCAGAAGGGGAAGCTACATGTATATTTTTCTGAGTCATGAATTACAAGTATTGAAATTCTTTAAACTTGGAAATTAGACAAATGTGAAATACCATAGAACAATTTTTTTTTAACTCATTGTCCCCTCCCAGTGTGTGAAAACCTTTTTAAGATTAATTAAAGGTAAAGTTTAATTAACTGTAACTAGGTGTACTTTAACATATACAAAATTGTCTTCAAAGTTTGTGTTGCTCATAATGAGCTAACAGTCATCTGAATGGAGGCCTGAAAATCATTAGCAAGAGTTTGGTATTAAATGTGACATAAACCATATTTCTATTACTTATATTAGTCCTTCAGCAGGACTGATCTAACTATATTAAAAATCATGCTCAAACCCTATTTAAAACATTGCCACTGACTGTGCCACCATTGATGAATAATCCACAGCTGTTAAACTTGTATCATTACCTGAAGTCCCACTTGTCATGTCAAAATACAGGATACATTTGTAGTTACCAAAATGCAAAAACATTATTTGAAAGCCTTATAAACATTTGGTGACTAGTACCCAAAATTATAAACAAGAGCCAATTAGAGAACTTAGAAGGATTTTTTTTCCTGAAACATTAACATTTTAAAGGAAACATAATTCTTTGTGTAGGTGGCTTTATAATTTTGAACATTTGAGGTTGTCAGTGCTCAAATATAGCTAACAGGGATGCACACACCAAGTCAGCTTTAGCCGTAGTTAAACTCTCTCTTGAACATGACTGACATACATCTGCTGGCCAGAGTGTGTAGGGTGTAGTCAGGAGACACAGGTAAGCCCTGTGTGAATTTCAGGTCAAAAATCCTGTGTAATGCTAAAGTAAACTAGTATACTAAATACTAAAGTATTTACTTCTTAGTTACTGAGAATATTGGATCATGTGAATATTTTTTTTTTTTTGGTTCAAGTTCTAGAGAAAGATTTTCCTTTCACAGATGCTCACTTTTGGGCGGTAGTGTTGATTCTTTTGAATTGTAAAATGCTTATAGCTCTTTCTGGTTTTGTGGTAGTGATCAAATACTTTAGAAATTTGTAGCAAGTGTGTTGCAATTTTGTTTTCTGGTAGATAGAAATCCCTAAAGTAGACCTAACCTTCCTGTTGACAATTACTGATTTTACCTTAGCTCAGGTTGCAGGGTGGTTTCCTTCAGCAGTCATATTCAGGTATTCAAATTCCATCAAGATCTGATCTTCATTCCTGCCAAAGAACTGGATCTATTAAAATGTAATTTTCTTGATTGGATCCTAGGCTCGGCAAAAATATCTGAATGTTATTGTTTTGCCACTACTTCATAATGTGATTTTGTAAAAGGGAAACAACTTATCTGTGTCCTTCTTTTCCTCAGTGAAAATGAAATACATTGCAAGGCAGAATTAATTTTTAGAAAGCAAATAAAAAGAGATGAAAATGCCTTTTTAGTGCTTAGCATTGAGTTCCATGTTCATTCATGCCGATATTTTAGAAGCAGAATATTAACTATGAGTTAAATATTTGGCCTCATAGTTTGCCATTTGAGATAATGTACAGAAAGAGTTCTGAGTCCTGTTTTGATGTTTTCATTCACATTTTTCATATGCTAGTTTTCTTGTTTCTGTAAAC